TTTGTTTTCATGCATTTTTTCAATTCTTCTTTAATTTCCTGGTTGACCCATTCATTCTTTAGTAGCTGCTCTTTAGCCTCCATGTATTTGAGTTCTTTCCAACTTCCCTTTTGTGATTGGGTTCTAGCTTCAGAGCTTTGTGGTCTGAAACTATGTGAGAATGATCCCAATCTTTTGGTACTGGTTGAGAGCATTATGGTCTGAAAATATGCAGGAAATGATCCCAATCTTTTGTTACTGGTTGAGACCTGATTTGTGACCCAGGATGTGATCTATTCTGGAGAATGTTCCATGTGCACTAGAGAAGAATGTGTATTCTGTTGCTTTGGGATGAAATGTTCTGAATATATCTGTGATGTCCATCTGGTCCAGTGTGTCATTTAAGGCCTTTATTTCCTTGTTGATCTTTTACTTGGATGATCTGTCCATTCCAGTGAGGGTGTGTTAAAGTCCCCTCCTATTATTGTATTATTGTCAATATGTTTTTTTGATTTTGTTATTAACTGGTTTATATAGTTGGCTGCTCCCATGTTAGGGACATAGATATTTAAGATTGTTAGATCTTATTGTTGGAAAGACCTTTTAAGTATGATATAGTGTCCTCCCTCATCTCTTATTATAGTCTTTGGCTTAAAATCTAATTGATTTGATATAAGGATTGCCACTCCTGCTTTCTTCTAATGTCCATTAGCATGGTAAATTGTTTTCCACCCCCTCACTTTAAATCTGGAGGTGTCTTTGGGTCTAAAATGAGTTTCTTGTAGACAGCATATTTATGGGTTTTGGGTTTTTTATCCATTCTGATACCCTGTGTCTTTTGATTGGGGCATTTAGCCCATTTACATTCAGGGTAACTATTGAAAGATATGAATTTAGTGCCATTGTATTGCCTATAAGGTGACTATTACTGTATGTTGTCTCTGTTCCTTTCTGATCTATTACTTTTTAGGCTCTCTCTTTATTTAGAGGACCCCTTTCAATATTTCCTATAGGGCTGGTTTGGTGTTTGCAAATTCTGTTAAATTTTGTTTGTCCTGGAAGCTTTTTATCTCTCTTTCTATTTTCAGTGATAGCCTAGCTGGATATAGTATTCTTGGCTGCATATTTTTCTCATTTAGTGCTCTGAATATATCATGCCAGTTCTTTCTGGCCTGCCAGGTCTCTGTGGATAAGTCTGCTGCCAATCTAATATTTCTACCATTATATGCTACAGACTCCTTGTCCCGAGCTGCTCTCAGGATTTTCTCTTTGTCCGTAAGACTTCTAAGTTTTGCTATTAGATGATGGGGTGTGGACCTATTTTTATTGATTTTGAGGGGGGTTCTCTGTGCCTCCTGGATTTTGATACTTTTTCCCTTTGCCATAATAGGTAAATTCTCTACTATAATCTGCTCCAGTATACCTTCTGACTCTCTCTCTCTTTTTTCTTCTTCTGGAATCCCGATTATTCTAATATTGTTTTGTCTTAAGGTATCATTTATCTCTCGAATTCTCCCCTTATGGTCCAGTAGTTGTTTGTTTCTCTTTGCTCAGCTTCTTTATTTTCTTCTTTATTCTTCATTTGGACTTCTGTATCACTAATTCTTGCTTCTGATTCATTTATTCTAGCAGTAAGAGCCTCCATTTTTTTATTGTACCTCAATAGCATTGATTTCAACTTGGTTTTATTTCTCCAGAAAGGGATTTTATTTCTCAAGAAAGGGTTTCTCTAATATCTTCCATGCCTTTCTTGAGCCCAGCTAGCACCTTGAGAATTGTTGTTCTGAACTCTAGTTCTGACGTATTACCAATGTCCGTATTGATTAGGTCTCTAGCCATCCATACTATCTCTTGTTCATTTTTTTTTTTTTTTGTGGTGAGTTTATCTGCCTTGTCACTTTATCCAGATGAGAATATATGAATGAGAGAATAAAATACTAAAAGTGTGGCGAAGATCCCAGAAAAATGCACACTAACCAAATCAGAAGAGATCCAAAACCGGGGGTAGAGGAAAGGGGGAAAAAGAAACAAAAATTTAAAAAAATAAAAAAGAAAGAAAAAAAATTCTCATATATATATATATATGACTGGTGAATAGAACAGAGCCACCCACTTGATTTTGGGTGTATTTTGGTCTCTTAGAAGAAACTACCTCCCAAAATTTTAAGGAAAGAAAAACATATATATACACACACACACACACATACATACATATACATACACACACACACACACACACACATATATAAATAAGGGTAAACACAATGAAAGGATGGAATATGACTGTAAAGATGAAAATTTTTTAAAAATTGTAAGAAAGGAATTGATAAGATAAGTTGGTTGGAAAAAGAAAAGAAAAAAAGAGGAGAAATGTGCTCAGGATGGAGACTAGAACAAAGCCATGCTAGATTAGGGTATATTTTGATCTATTAGAAGAATTTGTATCCCAGAATTTTTTAGAAAAAAAAAAAAAACCCTTATGTGAATACAAAAAATAACATTAAATAAAATGAAGGGTTAAAATATGACTATAACAATGACAGTTTAAAAAAGTTTTTTTAAGAAAGATGTTGTTTAGATAAACTAGTAAAGATCATTAAAAGAGAAAAGACTAAAAATTAAAAAAAAAATAGAATAAGAAAAAAAAATTAACTTTGCAAGAGTAAAGGATCATGGGGAAAAAGCCATGAATTCTATTCATTGCTTTCCCCTAGCCCTGGAGTTCCACTGTTCCACTGTTCTTCAAGACCAAGATCGGTGAGCTTGGTCTTGGCTGGATGTTCTTGAGGATCTTCTGCAGGATGGCCCTGTTGCAGTGATTCTCAAATGTCTTTGCCTAAGGCAGAATTGCACTGCCCTTGCCAGGAAACCAGATAAGTAAATCTGCTCGGGTTCACTCTGGGAGGTTTTTTTCCCTGAACGCTTTCCTTATGGCTTTGGAGGACGGGGATGAAAATGGCATCCTCCCAATCTCCAGCCTGGAGGAGCCAAGAGCTCAGGGCCCCACTCCTCAGTGCGCCCCCAAAGACAAGTAGTCAATCACTCCTATCTTCCTGGTCTCAGTCCACACTCTGAGCTCACCCGGCCTGTGACTGAGCATTTCTGTCTCTGGCACATGGTCCCGCCTAGAGTCTCCAAACCCAGCAGATATCCTGCTGTGCTGCTCCTTCTGGAACAGGAATGTGAGTCTCCCCGGATCTGCCACTTGTGGGGTCCCCCTACTGTGTCTTGGATCATTGTTTAAGGTAACCCCGATCTGAAAGCTCACTCTTAGGCTCTGTCTCTGTAGTGGGCTTCCCTGCTTGGATACCTGGCAACTCTGCCACACTCACATACCCCTGATCTTTCTGTGACCCCATGGCACCTGAGACCACACTGTCCCCATGAGGACTCCACCCCCTGCTTAACCTCTGGAGTGATGTCCCTCAGTGGAGCAGACCTCTAAAAGTTCTGATTTTGTGCTCCACTGCTTCACTGCTTGCAGGGAGCCGGCCCCTCCCTCTGCAGTCTATCTTCCCGTCAATTTGGATTCACTTCTCTGCCAGTCCTACCTTTCAGAAAGTGGTCAATTTTTCTGTTCCTAGAGTTTCTGCTCTTCCTCTCTTCTATCTCCTCTAGGTGTTTGGAATGGTTTGATACCTATCTAGCTGAACTCCTGGGATCTGATGTCATTATAGTCTGCTACTCCTCCGCCATCTTGCCTCTCTCAGAGTTGAGTTTCTGTGTATTTATCAGTATTGATTTCAAGTCCCACGTCATGCTTTTGGAAACTATTTACATCAGACCATGTTTATTTGTGTAAGATAACTTTTGTCTTCTTTTTCAATTTTCATCATTACCCTTATTAAATACTAAATCATTTTGAATATATATATATATGATAAACATATGTCACACACACACACACACACACACACACACATGCACACACGTCTCGTAGACAGAGATATGTTTCCTTAATGTGGCACTTAAAAATCGGTTTGAAAGGCCAAACCTTAATTTTTAGTGTGACTAATCTGTTAAAAGTCCTGTCTCCTCTATCTTCTCTTTAGTTAATGAAAAAGCTAATTGCAAAACAAGAAGATTAATTAATAGCAATAATCTTGGTGTGCTAGTAGTAAAAATCCTTGCTAAAGTCCAATCTTTATAAAAGGTACTGACTGTACTTTATAACTAACCCTATGTCTAACAGATGGCAGAAATTTAATAATTATAGTTGATGCTGTCCATTTGCTAAGTGAATTTCCCACACTGCTACTCATCCTCAAGATTCACCACTACAGCCTTGATGACTAGCTAATACTGTGGAAACCTATCTCTGACTGCTTTCTCATGTGAGAAACATGCTTTCCTCCATGCAGGACAAACTAGAACTGCCTGAAAGTTAATGCTCCCAGAAGCAACCCTCAATCAATAATGGATGGGGAAATGATAAATAAATACCTATCTTCTGTTTCCTTCAGTTGGGATAACTGTACATTGTTCTGTACCCAGTGTTTCCCAGAGACACTGAGATTCAGTTGACCACAATGATAATAGGCCTGATAACAAATATTTATTCTCATTTTCTGAATCATCTGTTTCTCTTCTATTGTTTCTTGGGGTCACCTCCCAAAAAATCTTCTTGAGTTCAAGTCCTTAATTCATAATCTACTTTGAGGGGAACTCAAACAAGAAAATAATGTTTGATAAAGAAATTAATCCACCTATATGAAAAGATATACACATATACAGGTAAGCCTCTGCCTCTTTGTGTCAACATATAAATCATGTCATCTTTCTCTAAGCAGGTTTATAACATCTGTTACAAATGGAACTCAGTTAAGATTTGAGGAGAGTAAGTCCTTTCTTAAGATAGAACTTATTATTTTGCTTTGTCTCTAGATTCTTTGAATATAAAGAATAAAGTTGAAATCATAGAATTTAAAGAACAGCAAAGGAACTGATAACTATTTTTCTCAACTGCAAGACTGACCCATTAACATAAAAGGCAGACCCTGGAGATGTTCCATAAAATTGAGTTTTGCTAAAGCCTGCTCTGATATCTCCTATGTGATAAAAGTTCTTGACACTTAGCAGGAATTGATGTCTTGGTATTCTACCTGTGAATGGTAAGTCTGCAGGGGAGATGGAGGATTATGGTATGTATCCTAGAAATTCAGCATAAGAGCTCAGAAGTAGGTAGAGTGTGAATTATGAGCCACTAGTCACATAAAGCCTGATGGTCATGTCCCATAGCCTGTTCTGCCTGGGGATATGTGGTACACAAAGAGAGGTTCTTGTAAATGCTGGTAGGAGCTATGTGCAAGCTTCCACATGAACAGTTAGTCCTTCAGAGTCTAATCAAAGGCTGCTTAGGGGGTTGTTCTCCTTGAGTTAATGGAAGTATGAGTGTTCAATGAAGGGAAATTAGCCCCAGAAGACAGGGAAGCAAATTAAACCTTTATTTTTATTTGAATTGGGAGTGAATAAAGTGTTCACTGCTCACTAAACTCAAGTGAAGTTAACATGTGAGAATGAATGGAGACAAACTTCTCTGTGTGGCAAGGAAGACCTCAGGGCACTTTGTACCCAGGAATCTCCTGGGGCAGAACTGAGATGGAGGTGGACATTCATCATGCTCTGGGGGTGATGGGGATTTTCAGTAAATGCTGTATCAACGTAGTTAAATCTTCCCAGAACCAATAAAAATGCCCTTGCCTTTTCTACTCTCTATTACAAGTAATTGCTATTCATCTACTTACAGATATCTTGGAAGTAGTCACAGAGTACTTGGAGTGCCTGAGGGATGAAAAGTTTAAAGGAAAAATGTAGCTGTATATCATTGGCATTCATGAGAAAATTCATATTAGATGTTTGAAAGGCAGATCCCCAGGAGGCAATAGAGAAATCAGGAAAAATATTGTGCCAAAAATACTACTCTGGCCAGGACATCGGGGAGTTTATGTCAGGTAGAGTGAAGGAAAGTGATTTGTAAAGAAAAGATGTATGTGCTTTTCCACATGCATTTAGATTATTTATATGTACACATCCCCTGAAAAACTAGAAAGTTCTGGGAATTGACAACCAGATTGGGCCTGAAATTTGTGAAATATGCAGCTGTGCTTATATTTCTTTGACTCTGACACCTCTGAATAACATTGGGTAACACGATCAATACATTTTCAAACTCATATCCTTTTAAACTCTGTTTGTAACCATTAAGCCAAAAATGTCTTGTACCTGGGTGCCATTTTACATTTGGGAAGGCAGGTTTAAGCCCCTGGAAATCCACATGCAGAATCTGAAGTCATTGCTTTTTTCTGGAAGTTATGCACCTCTTCCGGGACCTAAAGATCAATTGTCCCATTGATGTCATATGAGACACATAGGTAAAAAAAGATATGAAGTGGTGGGTGGGTGATGCTGTCCTTGCTGGGAGTCACTTTTGTGCATAAATAATTCTTACTAGGGTTGCCTGGGTGGCTCAGTGGGTTAAAGCTTCTGCCTTCAGCTCAGGTCATGATCCCAGGATCCTGGGATCGAACCCCACATCGGGCTCTCTGCTCTGCCTGCCTCTCTGCCTACTTGTGATCTCTGTCTGTCAAATAAATAAATAAAATCTAAAATAAATAAATAAATAAATAAATAAAATCTTAAAAAAAAATTCTTCCTTCACTTATATTCTCATTCTCAAATGTTCAGTCACTTGAAGGCATGTAGTCCAGTTTAAGCCTACTTACTTCTGTTCACTCTCCTTATTTAAAAGGTCTAGTGTATCACCTTTCAAGGAGATTGTGCTAAATTCTATCAAGATAACAAAGAGAATAGTAACTCAAAATTATTATTCCTTATGGATTGCTTTTTCCATAACACCCTGAAATACATTTAAGGCGCTCATAAGTACCAACAAATCACCCACTCACTCAGTGAATTAATGTAACTTAACCCCTCCTGTTTACAAGGACACAAATGTACACGCACATACACATACACATACAGACACAACCCTGAAAGCTAGATGGTGCAAAATACATCATGAAAAAGCAGACAGACCTTAAATGTTTCATTTATTCCTTCATTAAAGATAAATCAATTAGAAGTTGAAAGGAAAGCAAAAGCATTTCTAAATGAACTTATAATAAAAATCTTCATGGAATAAAAGTTATCAGCTCTTGGCAGAATACTTAAGTTAGAAAATTCTGGGAAGATAGACCAACATAATCAAAGATAGAAGCATCCTGGGAAATGACCCAATCTTTCAAATTTGGGGTTTTTTTGTACTTAATAATGATGATAATGATGACAGTAATAATAGCAGCTATTATTTGTTTGAGCACTGACTTCATCTGGGATGCTCTTCTAAGCAGTTTATAGAATTCAGATGTCCTCACCTAAAACCTGGAAAGAAGCTATTATTATTATCCTCATTTTATTGAGGAGGAAACTAAGACAGAGAAGAGTTAAATAACCTGTACCAAGTCCCTCCCCTAGTGAGAGGCAGAGGCTGGACTAGAATGAGCAGCTTGGCTGCAAAGCATGGACTCTTACCTACTACTGCCTTCTCTTGAGGAGCCCACAGAGCCACTGAGTCAATGACTATTTTTCTTATTTCCCTTCAGGCATGGATGGTCTGACAGAACCAATGCCATCTTTGAGAACAACACTGTACTCTTATTCTCATACAGATCCTCCTTCCTTAGACCTTTTCCCCAAGTTACCTTCACATTCAACCTGCCTCCTGTGTTAGAAACCATTTAATATTCTTTTCAGAGTAATTCCAAGCACATATATCCAGAGAGCTGACAACAATCCTGTGCTTCCTGTATATATTATGAAAAGGGCCCTTGTCTTGAAATCAAAAGATCTGGGTACAAGTTCCAGCTCAGGCATATACTATATGCTTTTGACCTAATAATAGTTGAAGTACTGTTCTATTATTTGGAAGTTTCCCTCCTACTTATCTCTGTTGAATTGCCTGCTCTCTCATCTCAGTTTAGAATTCAGAAACTCAAAATGTTGCTGAACTCACTGAAATTATGTCACTGATTACAGGCAGTGATGAACTCTCTCTGAGCCATTTAGATTCCTTGGTTCAAAGCCCACCCCCCACCCCCCCAACTCAACCGCGCCCCACCCCACCCCCGAGCTGGGCCAGTCTACCCTTCTGCAGAAGGCACTTAGTATGGTTTTTCATATCCTTTCTTAACTCCCTCCCCATTGTTAATAGCTCACAGTGGAATAGATCTGGATACAGATTAGGCTTACAGTTTTGTCCCAAGTCACCACAGGGTACATAATAGAAAACAGTGCTTTTAAAAGAGTATGCACACTTTATCCTTTGTGGGTCTAGGAAAGTTAGTGACTCTCTCTGAGCCTTACTTTCTTTTTCTTGGTAATTTAAGAAATTAAAATGAGGGGCGCCTGGGTGGCTCAGTGGGTTAAAGCCTCTGCTTTAGGCTCAGGTCATGATCCGGTGTCCTGGGATCCAGCCCTGTGTCGGGCTCTCTGTTCAGTGGGGAGCCTGCTTCCTCCTCTCTCTCTGCCTGCCTCTCTGCCTACTTGTGATCTCTGTCTGTCAAATAAATAAATAAAATCTTTAAAAAAAAAGAAAGTAATTAAAATTAGACATTTTATTTGAGAGAGCACCTTTCACACCATAGATCAGTTTATAAAAGTGGCAATTACTGAATTTTAAGTATTAGAAGGCAGTTAAGTCCTGTTAGTAAGAGGGCAAGGAACATACGTGAAATGGGGGAAATCTGTGTCAGTATCTTAATGCCCTCCCCTTAGGAAGATGTCTGCTCAGGTCAATAGGTGCATCTGTTTTGCCTGCAAATGCTATCTCCAAAGGCAATAGAAGGTGCCAAGGGCTGGGGATGAGGTCGGTCCCCCATGCCTCTTGCCACAGTCTCTCCTCTCAAGACCATGTATTTAATGAGAATAACACACCTTCAACAAAAACCCTGATCCCCATTTCTGTAACTTCAAAAAGTCAAAGAATGGGGCTCTTAAGAGACTGAGGTGTAATGGCATTGCCTGTTCCCAAATGAGTTTTTTTTTTCCTTTTGTCCTTTTTATTTTTATTATTTTCAAAATTCTAGCTTCTCAGTAGCTGAGGAATTTCCCAGACTTTTGCAGGAACAGTGTTGACAGGCAACTGCATTTTCCTCCTGAGTCGACTCCTATTTCTGTGAGGTCAGGACTGCCAATGGGAGCACATATCAGGGGACAGGTTGATGGAAGAGAAAGCAAAAGGTCCAATTGTCCAGGGGCCGGGGACCATGAACCTTAGTCAAAGGGAACAGAATGGAATCAGTGTACATCCTGCTGTGAGTGTTCACTATTTTTTCACCCTTTCTCCCTTAATGGATAGCCTGGAAGAAAGTATGTTCTTTCTCAGCAGAGAGCCTATAACTGTGTAGTTTTAATGTATTCATGATAATATGAATATATAGATTTTCTTTTCATAATTCTCTTCCAGGTAGGTCAGAAAATTCACACATCCAGACATTAAAAAGAGAAGACATGCCGTTAAATGTAGTCAGAAAAATCACTGATTGGCATGAAAGTGATTAGAATCCAGCCAATTTTCCTGATCAGTTACGCAGGAGAGAGTGACACTTCAGTCATTTAATCCCTGATGTATATCTTGGGCTTTTTCCAATTGAGAGAGCTCTCTCAAATCCTTTATTTAGTTGATCCCTATAAAAATTAGGAGACATCAGGAGGACAGATACTACCGTCCCAATATTTACTGTGGGCAACCTAGGAACAGAGGTTGTTAAGACTTAACTCAGATTGTATCAGTAGCTATTGGCAGAGATGGGACTTGGAGACCTTTCCTTTTCTGGTCCAGGGCTCTTTTGCCCGGATCAGGTTTTCCCAAAGTGCTTCTTTGGGGGCATTCACCCTAGGAAAAGTACTGTAGAAAACAGAATCCCAGGATCCTGGAAGTCTTAGCAACACTATGTACCATACCTTTCTCTTCAAAATGTGTATACCTTCGAGTAGCAGAGAGAGTGAAAAATCCTGCAGGATTTTGTTTACCTTATTTAACCTTGTGGTTTGCATAATATTTGACTGCATGCTATATTTTTTTTAAGCCTGAAAAGCACATGGTGGGAACCCT